GACATAGACAGCTGTGGTAACACTCTGACTGTGGAGGTCTCCTTTGAGATGCTGCCCTCCTGTACACTCCTGTAATGGCCAGAGAGTTGATAGGTGTGAGCTCACTGAAGCCAACAAGACCTAAGCAGGTCAGGAACCGGCCCATCCCCAAAGCAGGAAAGGAGAGGAGGAATAGTACAGAACCACCTCATTTTTCAACAGTCTAAATAGTCACTCCCTGTTTTCTTGTAAAATCAGGATAATAACATTCTTCTGAGGGTTGCTAGTGTAAAATGATTATTGCAAAACTAGCATGGGTCTTTGAGTAACTCTGTTAGGATGACACCTATAGTTATCTGGTCTTCATAGTAATGAGCCAGTCTTTCATGCTCCATTGCACAAGTTCTGCTGTCTGCTATAGCCATAAACACTTGCAATATGGCCCAAATGATAAGATCACAGACTGCTTTTGTCTGCAAAATTCATACAGGGTAGCCGTGGAGAGGAAGGAATGTGTATGCATTAACAATAAAGAGTGAGAGAGATCTGACAGTAACACATACTTGTTTTCCTGTTTCATTATACCCACAGCTCCAAGAGACAGTTAAGCCCTTTGCCCATCCACAGACAGTTTGTTCTCCTCTTCCCTCCTTCCTCAGCAGCACAACACACCCCCTTCCTCACATGGATATCTGTCACAGCTGGGTTGAATAGTGGACCTTCCAGTGATTTCATGTGGCCGTAGATGTAAAATTCAGTGTGTGGTCTCTTCCAGGGCACAGAGGACAACTGCTGGCTGTGAGGGCACCTGTCAGAGCCTGTGCAGTCAGAGACTGACACAGTCAGGGGCATGCTGGGCCTGCCTAAGCATACAGCACCTTTGGGTCTAGCTCAGTCTGAGCCCATGCTTACAGATTTACTTCTATGTGAGGTCAGTCTGGTCTTGCTGGTATTGGAAGCAGCCATTAGCACGCAATGCAGACATGCTTTTTTTAACCCACAGGCTCATTATTTCCCCAGAGCTTTGTGAGAATGTAAGTGGCTCACGTGCCAGCTGTGCTCAGCAGAGCCACCTCTGAAACACCCATGCCCCTGCACAGCCAGCTCTGTGAGGATGCTATCTGCATCAATCCAGCTACTAGGGCACAGCTGGGCTCGTACTGTTGTACCTTGTACTCCCTTCTACTGCCTGCAGGTCCCTCAGTCCCACTCTCTGGGGAAAGCCATGTTTACATTTCACCCATTTTCCAGAAATCTTTCATAGTAGTTACTGTTTGCTTCCATGAGAAAACACTAACAAGCTTCCTGTTTTGTTCACATAACAGCTTATTCCATTCAGGGAGTGAGAAGCAGCTTTCCAGAGGCACAAACAGGAGGGAGCTGCCCAAGTTCTTTTAAGCATTACAGGGAGTTTCATTTAAACCTCCACAGACTTCCCTAGGAGCTAGTACGGGGGTCAACTGGAGGTGACAAGGATAAGCTTTAACATGCAGAGTACTGGACTGTTTGATTCTCCTATTCCACAACGATTTGCCCAGTGGGAATCCAGGAGTAGGTGATATTTACTTACAGAGATGATGTGTCCTTTCAAGCCATGTGCTGAGTCTGCGCACTCAATAACAGCACTGAGCTGTGGATAGCCCACCCCTGTCTTAATCCGAGTGGTACACACAGAACCTAGACAGAGAACCAGAGTTACAAACACAGCCCATCAGCCTCACAGAACAAATACAGCTTGTTTTCTTCTTCTTGTGGAAAAAAATGTGTTTCTATCCATATTTTTTACCCTTAAGAAATGTCTGTTGCCAATGTTGGCTTCTCATGGATAAAAGGAACACACAGGAACTTGAGTTTTGAAATGCTATCACACCACTTCATGAGAGCTGTAACTGAGGTGACTAATATTCCCCCTGCCTTCTCCAGGGCCACAATTCCCACTTTAGGTCTCACCAGTAATGCTTCCTGGTGAGGGAATTACTGCACCACGACAAACCAAACCTGAATGAGGTGCCTGAAGGTAAGGGGGACAAAGGGATCAGAGTCACAACCCATGAGACTCAGCAGTAGCACTTAACACCTGAATATTTCTTGAAATAAATATTTCTCTCTCTTTTCTACACATTTTTTAAAAAATAATTGTTGGGGGAAATCTGTGCTTTTATTCTTTTTTTGTGGCTGTTCTCCAGAAAGGAGAGAAACTCATCTTCTGCCTGATACTTGGGCTGCATCAAGAGAAGTGTGGCCAGCAGGGGGAGGGAGGTGATTCTCCCCCTCTGCTCTGGTGAGACCCCTCCTGGAGCACTGCATCCAGTTCTGGAGCCCCCATGACAAGAGGGACGTGGAGCTGCTGGAGCGTGTCCAGAGAAGGGCCACGAGAATGATCCGAGGGCTGGAGCAGCTCTGCTGTGAGGACAGGCTGAGAGAGTTGGGGCTGTTCAGTCTGGAGAAGAGAAGGCTCCCAGGTGACCTTATTGTGGCCTTCCAGTATCTTAGGGGGGCCTACAAGAAAGCTGGGGAGGGACTTTTTAGGTTATAGGGTAGTGACAGGACTAGGGGGAATGGGGCAAAGCTGGAAGTGGGCAGATTCAGGCTGGATGTGAGGAAGAAGTTCTTCCCCATGAGAGTGGTGAGACCCTGGCATGGGTTGCCCAGGGAGGGGGTTGAGGCCCCATCCCTGGGGGTCTTTAAGGCCAGGCTGGAGGAGGCTCTGGGCAGCCTGATCTAGGGGGAGGTGTCCCTGCTCATGGCAGAGGGGTTGGAACTGGGTGACCCTTGTGGTCCCTTCCAACCCTGACAGATTCTGATCTGTTTTAGCAGAGGACTTAGTAGTGTTGGCTTAATGGTTGGACTTGATGATCTTAAAGGTCTCCTTCAACCTAAAGGATTCTATGATTCTACTTGAAGCACAAGTATCTGGTTGATTGCAATACCTGGGAGTATAAGAAAACCAGCACACCACATTTAAAAAACATGAGAGAAGTAATCATTAGAAAACTGTATAGTGTAATATTACAGGAAATAAACTAATTGTATCTGATTATTAAACTGTATTATTTATACACATACGTGGTGCTCGTATATACGTGTGTATAAAAATAAAGGTATGTACATATGTATGTATATATATATTTATAAAACCTTAAAGGGAAGGAGCACATGAAGAAGTACACAAGGGAGGAGAATTAAAAAGGGAAGACAATATGGCAGCTAATGCCAGACAATAATATTAGAGAAGGTAGGAAAAACACTGTAAGAAGTTTAGGGTGCTCCCATTTATCCATGGGAATGTTACAGTAATAGGTAACTAAGCCCAGTAACGTAAGGTTTAGTTCCCAGGGGTAGAGGCAATGTTATCCATAGCTCCCACTTAATAAATGCCATTTCATCTTTGAAGCCATTGAAGATGGACAAGCTCAGCTTAAGAGAACACAAATAACAAAGCTATTTCAAACCCTCTATCTCCTTGACAGAAGTGGGTACCTGAACACAGCATCATTTCAGCTTTAGCTGAGATGACTCAGCCTCTTTCCAACAGCCTAGAAAAAGGGCTCCTAAACACAACACCTATTATCAGTGGTAATGTCAGCAGCTCAGGCAACTCAGTGCTTCCAAGAATAGGCATCTTCACTGCCAGCAGATGCAACATGCAACACTTCACAGTACGAAACACAACCACCCTGGCCATGGATTTCTATTTAAGGCTATGTGCAAGGGCACTGCTACTTTATCGACCTGAGTGGGTCCAGGCTTCCTAATGGGAAAGTCAAGAGGATTATCCGCTGGTTCCACCTGGACAACTCCTCCACCAGTGCTACCCTGAGTCACCCTTATTTGACTGGATTTGACTTACCTGGTCCAATACCCACTTTAATAATGTCTGCTCCAGAAAGAATAAGTTCTTCAACCATCTCTCCTGTCACCACATTCCCTGCCTGGACAGAAGGAACAAAATCACATATGCTGGAGATTTCAAGATTACTGCAGTAAAGATCAGTGACAACAATGGAGACTTTTATCCAGAACTTTTGTGAGCTCAACTATGCAGAGTCAGGAAGAACACACTTGACCACACAGTTCATCATGCATGCCACAGAGATCAAACAAATCACACATGTACGCTCACAAGCCAAACAAATTTTTGATTGTGCTAGTAAACTCTGATACTTAAGATTCCATCAGGATCTCTGCTTTGTCTTCCATCCCCCCTAATCCTCACCCAGAGGCTTTCAACCACACCACCTGTAACTGAATGAGCTACACAAACTTCCCCCTTACATACAGTGCAGCTCCTCCACCTCTCCTGCCCTGTCTATCCCTCCTGACCGGCATACAGTCCTCCATCCTATTTACCTACCTTACTTAGAATAGTCTGGGCTGGAAGGGACCTTTAAAGGTCATCTAGTCTGATCCCCCTGCAGTGAGCAGTGACAGCTTCAACTAGAGTATGTTGCTCAGTGCCTCATCCAACCTGACCTTGAACGTCTTCAGCGATGGGACTTCTACCACTGCTCTGGGTAACCTGGGCCAGGGTTTCACCACCCCCAGTGTAAAAAATTTCTTCCTTATATCCAGTCTAAATGTCCCCCCTTTTAGTTTAAAACTGTGACCCCTTGTCCTGTTGCAACAGGCCCTGCTAAAAAGTCTGTCCTCATTTTTCTTTTAGGTGCCCTTTAAATACTGAAAGGCTGCAAAAAGGTCTCCCTGGAGCCTTCTCTTCTCCAGGCATAAAATAATTGAAAACCTTGTGGGAAGATGTTCAGATCTTACTTAAAACACTGGCAAATCCCCTTTTTTTCTTTAGCATTTAACATTTTGAGTACTGAAAGAGTAAGGAAGGTACAGTTCTTGCCCTTTTGAACATTAGTGCCAAAACTGATATGTATATTCAGACTATGTAAATAAGGGCGTTTATACCATATACATTAATTTGGTTGTGATGATACCAGAGGTGAAAAAAAGGGGTTTGGTTTCCATTCCAGGCAGTTGACCTTATCATAGGAAGATATTAAATTAAACAGGACCTTCCCTTTGTGAACCCACACTGCCTATGCCTGAATATTGCACCGTCTTTTAACTATCTTTCAGCAGTTCCCAGTATGATCTCTGCCATCATTTTTCTAGCTACTGAGACTAGATGAGCAGGTCTGTAGCTTCCTGGGTCCTCCCTCATGCTGGTCTTCTAAACTGGAATAACGTTGGCTAGTCTGTCAGCAGGGACCTGCCCAGACTCCTAAGACCTTCGGTGGATGACTGAGAGTGGCCCATCTGTAACACCCACTAGGTCCTTCAGTGCTCTGGGATGAATGCCATCAAGCCCATCATCCCATCAGACATCTGAAAACCAAGTATGGTCTGGATTTCAGCTCTGTGGCTTGTCTCATGTCTACGGCATGTTCCTAAAACAAAAAACTGCACAAAATAAAGCTGCATGAAACACGAGTCCTCTTACCCACAGCACCCATTTTGGACTTGTACTGAGGTGGGCCTTTCATTGGTGGAGATCAGAATTTAGGCTCTAGAGACATTCATAAAACCTCTGACGTAATGATATTCCAGTTTGTAGCAAACACTAACATGGGCAGAGCAGAAGGCAAATCCTAAAATCTTTACTTAGTGTTTTCTTAGCTTCTGTTGAAATAAAACTCTTGCTGAAGTCAACAGGAGCTACCTGGCAAATGCTGGGCAATGCCTACTCTCCATCTACTAATTTTATGCCTTCTATTTCATGATTTATTTATTTTTAACGAATTTTACTTCCCCCTTTTATTAGCCTGAGACAGCTGACAAGCCACCACCTGAGGCATTTATAAAAACAATGATACTGTTAGGCAGCAATTTGTGGTCTATGACACAAGACCACTTAACTTTGCTCAAAACTGCATGATATTGATTAAAAATAAAATAAACCAGAATAAAATAGAACACTCAGGAAATAAAGACTATATAATAGGCACGATGTTTCCAGCTAAGTACTGCTTCCTTTCTGCTCACTGGTAATTTGTTATACTAAGTGTTGTACACTCCAAGGTGGGGTGAGGAAGAGCAAACTGCTTATGACACTAAGGAAGCAGTTTACATCTGGAAGGCAGATGACAACCTGGGCAGATGACATGCAGCACCTTACACCTGGGTGAAATACTGCAGTGCATGAAACAGATTCATAAACAGGAACCAACAGGTATTAAACTCAGTGGCTCCATCAGATTTGGGATCAAATATGTATTTAACTTAAACAGCAGTGTCTTCTTATTAGCAGAGCATAGCGGGCTGTCAAACTGTCTTTTCAGAAATGCTAACCAGACGTTTAATGTTAAGTTGCTGCTAGAGAAATGTTGGAACTGCATATGTTGATTCAAAATGCTCATCCTAGCAGGGAAAAGCACTTTTTTTTTTCCTGGAATGCATGTACACACATCACTGGTTTCTGTCTTTCTGAATCTGCAGATCCTTCACAAATTTTCAGGGAAGACATGGAGCTCCACACAGCAGACTTCAACCTGCCGACGACAGGCTTGCTGCTTTTAGGTATCTGTTGCAGACCTCAGAGAGCATGGAAAAAAAAACACCACAAGAGAGGCACAGCTATCTGTATGTGAAGAGACCTTAGTATCACAGCTGAAAAGCAGGGAAAGCTGTTTTCTCACATCCAGCTGAACTCCCCTTCCACTGAAACCAAAGCTTGTTCTACCACTGATGGCAGTGTGACAGCTGAACAGAGGCAAAAAGGCGTCTGAAGGCCCTACCTGTAAGGTAAAGCCATAATACTTACACTTAAAAAATATGTGACCAGGTGAATATAGAAAGGCTGAGACTACAGAAGTGAAACTCTCTTAAAATTAACTAAGCATATAATGCAAGTAAAATAACTGGAACTTGTACAAAGAAGCCACAACAGACAATACATTTTGTAGTGTATTCGGGCAATTAGTCAGGGAACTCAGAAGTATTTTATTAGTGAAAGCCATGTTCATCTTAATGATGAGCCCATCTAACGATGCATTTCCAATCTGCTGCAGAATGCCCTTCTTGCTGATCTAACTTGGCTATCCCTGGCAGTACAGTAGCAGCATCAGTAACAAGTGAAAGTCAGAAACAAGTGTGCCTTCCATGTGGTCAGTTACTAGGAGCCACAATGATGTCCCCTGGCTGTGGGCCTGGCCTTACACACACAGGGTGACAAATTCAGCTTTACCAGCACTCAGCATGAGGTTTCAAGTGAGTGTCACCCTGGCTCATTCCAGCACCATCCAGGATGATGGAACTGTGGGTCAATCCTGAGGGAAACCCTGCCCTCAGAAGAGTCACAGGGAGTTTCACTACTGGCTCTAATGGGATCAAGATTTCACCTAACAGGATTATAAAGGCTACAGCTTCTCTGACAGAGCTACAAAATTAGTGAACGCAGTAGGGCAGCGCCTCTGAATTTCAGTCAGGCATTTGATACTGTGCCTCATAAAAGCCTGCTATAAATATCGACTCACACTAAGGCAGGAACACTGCTGCACTGACTGAAAGCTGCTGGCAAATGGCAATGGATCAAGCTGGGGAGAAGTGTCTGTGACAACAGTTCTCAAACTTTCTTCTTGTATGCTCAAGGAAAGCACAGTCTGTGCCTCCATGCTATCAGGAAGACTGCCAAAGGACACCTCCCCCCACCAAAGCGAGGGGTGCTTTACCTTAAGATGGAGAGATGATGCCCTCTAAGAGACTGAGCAATGCCAGGTGAGTGTTGGCACCCGGTACTGGGACTGACCCAAGACAGCCTCTGCAGCATCACTGCCTCCTACCCTGGGATCCCAGCCTCTGCTCCGAGACCCCAGCCCTGATGGACACATCACGAGTGGAATGATTGTGCTGCTTGTTCCAGAGATAAAGCAGGAGCAGTCTGCATGGCTGGCTTGCACTGAATTATGCCTCTTCTAAGGCCCTGAAAAATTCTGCTACTCACTCCAAGGGTAGCAACAGTTTCTGGCCCCTGCCATTTCCCTCTGTTGCTGTTTTGCAGTTCCACTTGCCTCCCTCTCTGGCTCATATCTTGTGGGTGCTACTGCATCTGCAAGTGTGCTCCTGCCCCAGCCTTTTCCTTCCTGCCACACTCTCTGCTCCCCTCCCTAGATTTCTTCTGTGTAACAAACAGAGAACACTACAAAAAGAAAAATTAAGGACAAAAACTTGGCAAAGCTTGCTGGCAAAGGTATCTTAGCTTGTTAAAGAGACTTCCAGTAAAACAGAGGAACACTAACATCTACAATTACCTTAATAAATAAGGACTATGCTTACTGTAATACAAAGGCTCTGACCCTCCATCATGAATGTCAACTGAAGCTTTGCTTTAGGCTTCAGTGAGCAGGCACAACCCAAGCACATGATGCCATGCTACAGCAAAACACCTCCCTGGACCTTTACTCTTGATTTGAGGGTCAGTGCTGCATTTGTGAGACACTCAGGAGACTAGAATACTGCTTCTTCCTCCAACCTCCATTTAATGAGTCATTTAAGGCAAGTCCTGTTATACCTTTGTGCCCCTGTTTGTCTTCCCTATCCATGGTGTTGCAAGGAGAAATTGATCTTCTTTGTGAATTAACATGAAAGGCAGGAGTGAAAAGAGCTTGTGTCAGAGCCAGGCAGAAGGGAACAAGGTAATGTTATTATAAAAGCAAGCACTGAAAAAGGCAGAAATATGCATCTGCAAGGTTGTTACACAGGAGACATCCTCTGTCTGCACCAGAGCATCAGCCACAGAGTGTACTACATTGACCACAGTTGCTTGGCACGCCACCTTTCAGGCTCAGAGCTGAACCCTCTCCACGGCCCCTGGGAACACACATGCCCCGGGCTGGGTTCCTGTCCTGTACTGCAGCTGAGCGTGGAATGAATGGTCATGCTGAGGAAAGCAAACAAGGCAGCCTCCAAGGTCCTGGGGATCACTTTCAGCTATGAGAAAGCTTCTTTATTTTTATACCTTCTATTTAACTGCTAACCCTTTTGTTTGAAAGCCACAACAGCAGAGAACATACTGCAGGCATAGCACAGAGACATCAAAGCAGACAGAACCAGCAGCAGCAGGACATGGCTTCCAGAGTCTTGTAAAAAGAAGCCTAGATGAGCTCTTGTATTTCAGCCAGGAATAGCTTCAAAAGGCCATCTTGGCACAGAGTGTAAAGTAAACTCATTTGGAAGTGGGGTACAGGTGCAGGTCCCTAGTTGAATGAAGAGACCTTTGGGGACTGCACAGGCTCTGGAGGGAAAGCAGGCTTTTGAACCCCCCAAGTTTGTTAGTGTGTTTGTAGGAATGGAAATTATCCACATGCAGCAGAAAAAAAACATAGGCCATACTAAACTGTGCTCAGAGAAGGCAACTGAACAGGTCAGGGCTGTGTACGTGCTCAAGCAGGTGGTGCTGTCAGGACAATGAGATTTGAATCAACAATAATTTTAGTCACGGGAGCAGAGAAACTAAACATGTAACTAAAGAGATGTGGGAGGTGGATGAGAATGACATGAGGACCTTGAACTAAAATCTGGGCTTGATACCTGACTTTGACATTGACCTCCTGTGCCTTCTGGGCAATTCATCTTGGTTGAGTTCCCTCCTCAGTCAGCAAAGTCAGCAGGCTGTGAGGAGGTGGAGGAGGGGAAGACACACAATTTTCTTTCCACTTCTGATAGGGAAGATATTTATTATTTTTTAACTACGTGGTTTAACCTCTCTCACAAAACTCTTCAAGGCAAACACACTGGAGTAATCATGTCACTAGGGACAATACTTCAGATCCAAAGGAAGAAAATGGCTCCTCCCCTCAGCGCAGTGAATATGGAAGAAGCTCAAAAAGCCCACATTCTGCTGATAGCTGTTGAAGGATGCCTACAGTAACCTAGAACCCTACAGACATTCCAGCCCACTTCAATATTCCAATGCCACCATCACTCAGAGGCAAGAACCCACCCCTCCTCTGACATGAGAGGAAGGAATGTAGCCTCCCCTGAGCTGCTTGAACATGCAGTTCCCTACTGAACCAAGTCAAGTGTGCATTTATGACCGTTTTTAGTTTGCATTTACTTTACATGCATGAAGCTTTTTGTCTGGCATGAAAACCTGAGGAAGTGTTGCCTAAACATGAGATTTTTTTTCTGCACTGGCTTGAAGAAAGGCTGGTAGCCTCACTAAGAATCTGCTGCTTGTTTGAGAATTTCTGCTATTATCATGGAAACAAATTCAGTCCCACTTCTTCAAGGGCCCTGGGAAACAAGGAGGAGCAGTAGGGCTGTGGGGCAAGAAGTCCCACGTCGATGCAACACCTACTGATAGTGCAGAAGGGCTGGAGGCAGCATGGCATTAGCTCACTGAGAAGGGACAGCAACAGCACAGAAGGGGCATGGAAAGCCTCAGCATTGATTATTCTGCTCCCTGATGACCCTGTTGACAACTGCCCAACACCCCTGTGATTCTTGACATTGGCAAGGATTAGTCCACATTCAGCTGTCTTCACAGTGAGCTAATAGACAAAAACAGCCACTGGCCTCAGCTGGCCAGAAACGTGGGTGCATGCCCACAGCAAACCTCAGCTTGGAATCACCAAAATAAACCTACACACTTTATGATTAGAGGTCACAGCTGGTGTGGGAAGGAGGATGTGAGTAGGAAAAATATTGGATCCACCCAGCCCGCCCTGCCAACATCAAACTGTTGTATCAGAGCACACACTGAACGTTCCCACAGAAATTATCAGCAGTGGAAGACTGACAATGCCAATATGTTATTAAGCAGTCGTTGTTGGGCTCAGAGTTAACACCTTGCTGAATTGAAAGGGTAAATGAATAGAACTGTACTTTATATTCTCAAAAGGGTAGCTGTCCACATGTATTTGTCTGGAAGACAAGAGTTTTGAGTCAGACTTTTTCTTCCTACCCTTCATTCCTTTTTTCAAATGACTCAGAAACTGATGGAGCTACCACAGAGCTTCTAGTGCCTACCAGTGAAACTCTGGGCCCTGTTCCTGGACAGAATTCCTGCATATCCCTACACCCTTTCTACACACTTACCATAATGGTGTGATGTGGGAACAGGGCACGGACAGACTTCACAAACTCCACGAAGTGCTCTGAATAGCCGTTTGCCACATCCAGGCAGATGTATCTGATAGGTGGAATGGCCTCTAGAATACTTGTCAGCTTGTCCAAATCAGCTTTTCCACTGCCCGAGCTTGCTGCTACATGCTAGAAAGACAGAGAGAGAGAGAGAAAAAGGGGCTACCAGTTTGTAAAATCTGATAAACCCACACTTGGCATGTATTTTTCTGCATGGTCTTGGGAGGACTTGTGCTGAAAACCAGTGAAACTCCTATTATCTAGTATGAAATAAATGCCTTCCTGGGAATATCAATGTGTTACTTCTGTTTAAAGGCTCTAAAATAAAGCAGATTTAGCGTTTTATCAACTCTTCATTCACAAGTGGATTCTCATGGGCAAATATAATCACCTGACATGGATGAAGGCTCAGCTGTACTCATATTAACACAAACACAGACGAAACCCTAACTGGGTATATATCCAGGAAGGCAGAGCAGCAAAATTTGGGGCACTGTCAAGGAATGGGATCTTTATCTTCCAAAGTTCACCAAACGCACTCTTGGTCTACAGAATGACAGAATAGTTAAATTTGGAAGGGACCTCTGGGGATTGTGTAGTCCAACCCCCTTGCTCAAGCAGGGTCAGCTACCACCAAAAACAAGCAGATTGTTTCCTCCTTTGTCTTCCTGTGAGCTCTTTCCAAAAGAAAAATAGTTTCCACAGCTGCTGGCCCACAAAACCTCTGCAGAGACCCAAGGTCAAAAATCAAGTCAGTATTTAATCACTAGGAGACCCTACTCCAGTGACTATGAACCACAAATGAGCCAAGTGCCCAAGTGTTCAGACATAGGATACTCCTGGGATCAACTTTCTACCCTAGAGTGGCATATTAGCAACCCTGATGAACTCAAGCAACAGGCTGACTTTTAGACAATCCTGTGATTAATAGTTTTTATATTATTATTTGAAAATGTGCCACAGGTAAAGATACAACACAGATGTGTGGTATTCTCTTCTATGCAGAAAAGGTTTCAAAACAACTCCAAGGAGGAGGGGAGACAGCCAGGCACATTCTTATGCTGCTTCTCCTGGTGCAGGGGCCAGCCAGAAGAACACAGAAGAAACCCAGATATCAAAAAGTCGGAATTTAAGTCAATGTTTAAATTTACTAAATGGTGTTTCTCTGTACTGGCTCAGGCCAGGGCCCTGTGAATAGCACAGGCAGTAGTAGCACAGTGTGAGCTCTAGTGCAAAGTGGTAAATGGAGGGCTCTGGAAGCTCTCGATGCTAATCCCTGCTTGGGCCCAGCAGCCAGGCTGCTCCAGATCCACCTGCCCAGCTGGCAGCAAGGACTCTGCCTAGCATGATGGCCTGCAGGGCCAGCTTGTGGTGGCTTACTCAAGGCCATTTGTTTGTGGTCTTGGGCTTCTCCCTCACTAGCACTACCACAAGCCCGCAACAGCCACAGCAGCTACACCTATTCCCAAGTTAGTCCTCCTTTATTCAGGATACTTCTGTTTCCATTCCAGTCATATATAAACTTTGCTTTTTTGCATCTTAATATGAAGACTTTCATAATGGACTCATATAACTATTCTTTTTAAACCAGGACAAGCCACTTCCCCTGATGCATTCAAGAACAGCAAATATCTTCATTCCACAAAACCTCACTTAACAACAGCATTCCCAAGGGACTCCACTGTATGCGAGTTCAGAACAAAGCAACTAACCATAGTAATTTACAGTAAGAAAATGTACCTCAAGGCATTCTGGGTGATTGGCAGCAAACAGTTTCCATTCTTCCAGAGAATAATGCTTGTGAATTGCAGTGAACATTGCATGCTAACAAAAATAAGAAAACTGATATTAATGTCCACATTAGTCACCTTTCCCTCAACTGCAGAAGAGTAAGATCTCAGAAATTCCCATTTTAAGTATAGGCTCATCCTGCTTGAATGAAACAGTAACAGACCAGACAACTCCAAATGGCTCCTCAAAGGTAAATTAGCATGCTTAGCTGACCTTTCAGGATCAGGCTTCCGATGAAGATGAAGTTATGGTCAATATTTTCAATGAGCTTAAGCACTGCAAGAAATTAAGGTGAGCCTTGAGGGCAGAGGCTAATTAACTAGTGCTGACTGCTGCAGCTTTATCCAGTAACCTACACTTTCAAAACCACTGTCAGCTGATAGTTTTTTTTCTGGAAGGGAACACAACACAGACCACAAAAACAAAGCTCCAGCAGCTCCACCTGAAGCTATACCCGAGATGGAAGCTTCCCAGTAAGCATCTCCACTGAAACTATCTTATACCTGGAGCCCCCTGTCTCTGCTAACTGTATTGCTGTAAAAGCACAGCTGCTTTGCAATGAAACCACACCTTGTTCTGGGTCTTTTTAACTCACACCCTCGTGTTCTCCATCAAACAGAGCTATAAATTAACAAAGCGCGCTCACTGTCACCTAGTGGCTTCCCAGCTGCTGCAGAAAGGAGAATGGAGACTCACTTTTGCCATCACCACGGCCATCTCAAACGTCCCCACGGTGTCCATGTTTGCCACTATAATGGGGATTCCTGTGTAGGTCTGCTTGGAGTTGCGGAAGGTGAAGGTGCGCGTGAGGTCGACCTGCAAAGACCAGGCACACACACTTTTAGCTGACCAATTACACCCTAACAGGAGCATTGCCACTGACTTCAGAGAACAGCAGGTTTGGACACTGCTGCTTTATCCTCCTCACATTTCCTGTTCTTCCACCTTTCATTCCACTACTATCTCAATTTACTCAATTTGTTACAGCTTCTGCCTTCCAAATAAGAAAGAAAATAAAGTAAAATAATAGAATTTTCTGCATTAAAGAGTTCATGCTGCAGAAAAAGAGTATCAAAATTTATAAATAAATAAATAGAAACCATTCAGCCTTAAGTTGGAAAGGAAAGAAAGGACAATGACAACTGTGGATTATTTTATACAGAAGTAACCTCAGCTGTTTGTTTGGCTGCCTGAGAAACCCAAGTTGAACTCCTAACTCCACGGAAGTCAGAACTGGAACTCTATCCGTCTCCAGAACATAGAGAGCTTTGTCCAAGTCTCCAATGTAAATGACAGTATCATAAAGTGAGTTCTTACTTTGGGCTATGGTTACCAGCACTCTTGCCAAACAACAAAAACAATCATCCCCTGGCTTATTAAACCATGAGGCTGCTAATTTCTATGTGAATTTCTTAAAACCGCATCAGCCTTCACCTTCAAAGTTATTTCTTCTCCAGCATTCTCAAACTATCATGGTAACATCAAGCATTTTGTTTCTTACATTTACATGAGGTAATATCAAATTTAGATTGGTTCTCATTAGTCTACTTAGCATCTTGCAAGAGACAGAAAAAAGCCCTCTAAGAAATGCACAACTGTAAGATACCACGTTAGTCTCTAGTAACAGTGAAAACTAAAGTTCTTTCATAGTTTTCATTACTCCTCACTTCAGCTTTAACCCAGGAACATTCAGAGACCTGAACTGAAATCCATCACCAGAAAGGAGGTGATATAAGAAAGACAGGACTTTGATTATTTATTTACAACATATTTTGAGCACTGTCATATTGCAGGTTACTTTCTGATGGATTAATATGTTGTGGGGTTATTACTGATTTGCGTAAGAGAAAGAACTTGATGCCTCAGTGATATATTGTGAAACAGGTTCTCCTTTTGTGTAAGCTCATAAGGGAAGGGTCACTGAGGTAAACCAGCTAATACACATCTTAATGGAGACTCATCCTTCTTCCCATCTACTATCAGAGGCCCAGTCCTCCACCTATCACTTATGACATATGACATTCTTATGGGAATTTTGCTGCAGCTAATATAAAATGTAGTACGAAGAAGATAGGCATGAAGTTGAGTATTAAAATTTAATATATTTTACTCCCTTTTAATGTAATTTGTTAACTAGAACCAAGGGAAAGAAGACACAAGTATCACACAACCAGTTCTACATGGAGAACAATACCAGAACCACCGCCTTACAGTTTTACAGAGCAAAGCCATCTCTTCCAAATTAACTTAAGAAGTAGGGGAGTATGTTTAAGAACAGACTGAGGTAAGATGCAAAGCTATGCAGGGAAGAGTGATTCTCACCTCCACTTACCACAAATTCTCTCATGTGATTCCCCTTTGCCAGTCGGCCAGATAGTTTTCACACAACTATCCACACAACTGGCAATACTGAAACCACAGGCGTTTCAGAGGGGCAGTTCCAGGGCCTCCCCTAGTGAGGATTCTGTTTAATAAGAACAGGAGAAATGGCCCTCTGTGTTGGAGACGTTTATGTGGTGCCCTATTTCTCCCAACAGCTGGGAAGGGAACATAAGAACAAGGCAAGTTCTGAAAGACTCCTTCCTGAGCCTACCTTCCCAGATCCCCAAAAACTGATGTTTAGAGATCTTCAAGGACAAAGGCCTCCTCCAATCCGCTGTGCTAACTAGTCACTCATGGACAGAGAACTCCCCTTGTCATTTTCCTTTAATCCTTCATACCTTTATCCCCTCTAGTATCTCGCAGCAATCAATTCCAAAGATGAATTATAGGTGGCATAAAAACTACGACCTTCACCGGACAATTACATTCAGTGCTTCCTACTACTTCTTTTGTGATAAATAACTAACTAGCATATCCTCCACAGATGCTGCTTCTCCATACTGAATAGCCCTGGTGTCTTTCATTTTTAACTCGTGTGGAAACCAGTCAATATTGGTGACCAACCTGGCTGCCATTCTCTGTACCTAGCCTAGCATCTTAGGCTGTTCTTGTGAAAGGATCACCAGAACTGTACGGTCGAGATGAACACACCAAGGAGCATCACAAAGCAAACTGGTTTTCCTTAGTGCCTCCAGCAGCACTTCTGACCATCTCTGCCTCTTTGCTGAGTGGTAACAGCTGATTTCTAGCTTATTGTTCTAAGCACTATGAGAAAATAACTTCTGATTTTAGGATTGCTCACCATCATTCAACAACCACAGAAGTTTCTTTAGAGAGAAAATAATTTATATTTTTAATACTGTATAACTCCTCCCTAGACCTTTGATATATGAAAGTGCTAGCATATTGGTTGGTCTGTTAAAGCTCCCCAGATTTATTTAAATTAATGACTAAACTTCCTACAGGACACCTGTCTAGTGAACTTAAAATGGACAGCCTGCAGAGGCAAGTCCAGCAGAGGCACGGATAGCAGGCTATGTGAGTACTGAGACCCCACAGGCAGATGATGTGGCTCTCACACCCATCAATGCTTTAACCAATTTTGACACCAGAGTTCAAGCTTCAAATTTTCTGGTATCTTTTCAAAAAGACAAAGCAATAATGGAAAATTAAGACAGCACAAGGAATCAAAAACAAGTACCAATACAGCAGACCTACAAGAAGTGCTGCAAACACCCCAAGCTGCCTCTCTGAGAGGCTGACTTAATCTTAGTTACTGCATACAAAGCTACCCTTGCGCAAAACGAGGCATTCGCACCAGAGCGGCAGACGCTTGCTGATATAAGCTTCAAAGCAGCAGCTTGCTGGGTAACAGGCACTGTAGTATGCTGCCTCTGTTCCTCTGCCAGAACTATTTATTTATATTCTTGTTTTGAAGCAGACTGGGGCTGTCCATTTCAGATCTGGCTCTCACAGACACTGTTTATTCCTGTTGCTACAGCCTCAGTGATGGTGTCCAATTTCTTAACCTTCATCGGTTTTCACTGACCCCCTTCATGACACGAACTTTTTCTCATGTGAAATGTTTTTAACAGTTCATCATAGCCACCCGTTACAACCCTGCCGTATCAGCTCCTGTTCCTCCTATCATTTTCCCTTCCCAGCAGCCCTTCTTTCCACAGCCTGCAGACAGCTAAATATACACAGTACTGAACTTGGAAGGAGCCATGTGTCACTCGGTGGAGCACAGCACCACCTGTTTGCCAGGCCACCAATTTTTAAGAGTGTCCATAGGTGCCACAGCAAATGGCCAGAAAGGGCCCACAAGCCTTATGACCACTAAGTGCACACAATGAGTACTTAATCTTCTCGGACACTGTTCTTTGTAAATTTAAATTTACTAGCTCAAGATTACCTTTCTGCTGAAAAGGATTTACACCTTCATAATGGCAAAAAAACTATTTTTAGTTGTTGCTCTCCAAGCCCCTGGCCACCGGCCCGTAAAAAACATGGCAACCCTGCTTCCCTTTCCAGTCTTGTCTTTCTGCCTCACTTGATCTGTCTCTGTGTGTCTCTCTCACAACTCTTGCTTACCCTGGAGGAAAGTTTAATCCTCTTTCCATTCTGCAACACAACGTAATTCCTTCATTACTCAAACTAAATCCTTTGCTAACCTTGGGGTTACGTGAGGTAAACGAGAAGGCACCTTCAATCCTGAGGCAGCCATCTTTTGTTGTAGAGGCAATACCCCTGGGATTTCCTGGGGTCTTTCCTGATCCCTGCTGAGAAATAACTACAGCAGCATCCTGGCTAGCAGTGGCATTGGGCCAGCAGGGAGGCAGAGCCCCTGGCAGCACAGGTCCTGCAGCTGCCAGAGCCTGGCTATGGGGGTTAACTGAAGTGGGGGTGACATGCACCCCACCGCTCCAGGTTTCCCCGATGGGGTCCCACAGGGTGCCGCGGGAAGTGCTCCCCACCACCTTCACGGGTTGTTTCTTTATTACTACTATTTTTTAAAAAGAGCACGTCAGTTACTCGCTAACAGCACTGCCCAGGAGCCCCGAGGCTGACGGAGAAGATGCCTGCCGGCCCGCACGCCCAGCTCTGGCCAGCCCAAACTGCGGGGCGCGGAACCGAACCCCCCAGCTCTGTCCCGGGGAAGGGCCGGCAGAGCTCCCGCTTCACCCACCGCTGCCCCTACAGCGGGC